GAGCTAGGGATTTTGAACACTTTTTCATGTGCTTGTTGGCCATTTGAATGTCTTCTTTGGTGAAGTAAATGTACATATCCTGTGCCCATTTTTCAGTTGGGTTATTTACCTTTATCTTGCTGTGGTGCTCAAGTATTTTATAAATTCTAGATATAAGTCCCTTATCTGACATATCATTACCAAATAATTTTCCCAGTCTGTGGCTTCCCTTTTTAACCTGTTGGAGAAGTTTGTGGCTGTGCATAAGGATTTGATTTTTAGAAGGTTCCATTCATCTATTTTATCTTCTCATTGTAGATTTTTTAGGGTACTTGGAAGACAGTTTACATTGTGGATTAGGACTACTAGAGTTCTTCGAAGCTTTTATCTAATGAAGGTTATAGTCCTTGGTTTTAGTCTTAGGTCCATGATCCCTCTTGAGTTGGTTTTTGTATATAGAGTGAGGTGTGGATCTCACTTGAGTCTTCTACAGATATTTTTCCAGTTTTGCCAACACCACTTGTTGACTAGGCTGTCATTTCCCCATTTAACTGATTTCATCTCCTTATTAAAAATCAGTTGACCATAGGTAGATGGGCTGATTTCTGGGTTCTCAATTTTATTCCATTGATCTATGTGTCTCTCATTGTACCAGTACCATGCTGTGTTAACCACCACAGCAGTGTAGTAGGATTTAAAATCAGGGAGTGAGAAGCCTCCTACCTTTTTTTATTTTTAAGGAGTGCTTTGCTTATTCGGGGCTTCTCTCCACTCCATATGAAACTGGAGATTACCTTTTCCATCTCCTTGAAGAATGGGATTGGAATTTGCATTGGGATTGCATTGAACGTGTAAATTGCCTCTAGTAGTATTACCATTTTCACAATATTGAGTCTTCCTATCAATGAGCAAGGGATATTCTTCCACTTTTCCAGATCTATTTTTGTTTCTTGTAGTAATGTTTTGTAATTTTCTTTGAATAGATCCTTTGTGCTTCTGGTTAGATTTACTCCCAAGTATTTAATCTTGTGTTTCAATATTGTGAAGGGTATTGTTTTTCTTAGCTCTGGCTCTGTATTCTCTTTGTCACTGTAGAGAAATACAATTGATTTTTGTATGTTGATCTTGTATCCAGCTACTTGGCTGAACTGGTCAACTATGTCCAATAGTTTTCTTGCTGAGACTTTAGGTTTTTCTAGGTATACTTTCATATCTGTGTAGAAAGATAACTTTACCTCCTCTTTGCCAATTTGAATGCCTCTTATTTCCTTCTCTTGTCTTATTGCTATCACTAAGACTTCCAATTCAATATTGAATAATTCTTGTTCTTAATGGGAATACCTTTTAACCTCTCTCCATTGAGGACAATATTGGCTCTTGGGTTTGCATAAATACTTTTAAATATGTTGAATAAATTTCCCTCTAAGCCTATTTTGTTGAGTGTTTTAATCAGAAAAGGGTGTTGGATTTTGTCAAAGGCCTTTTATTCATCAATTGGTAGATTATGCGGTTCTTATTCTTTGTTAATATGATGAATTACATTAATTGTTTTCCTTATGTTGAACCATCCTTGTATACCTGTTATAAATCCCACTTGGTCATGGTGAATTATTTCTTTGATTTATCGTTGAAGTCTACTGGTCAGTATTTTATTCAAGATTTTTGCATCTATGTTCATGAGAGATATTGCCCTAAAGCTTTCTTTTTGGTGGGGTCCTTT